TTACTATGGTACTACAATGTTAGCATCAGAAATCTATAATTACCCGAGGGTGGAGGCGCTCTAGATTCATACTCTCGTCTTGGGGGAAGACCATCGTCCCTGGTACTATAACCACTATCACGAGGTGGAGGTGGCCCTCGACTGATCAATGGAGACCTCTCTCTTCCTCCACGGTCATATGTGTCTCTTCTATTATAGCTTTCTTCTCTTTCTCTGTAATATATATAAAAGATTAGTTCATTAGATAAGATATAAAAAATGAAAGTAGAGTTGCAGCTGTTGAAATAAGAATACAGCATATAAATCTCTGCTCTCCTAAATTAGAATAATTTATAAAAATCCAAATCATATAAAACAATATATAATGTCATTTTACAGGTAAAAATATAGCCCTAACTTTACAAATAAACTGTGCCAATCATACATGTTTAATTATATATTGGTAGACAGAATGCATGTTAGGAAGAGTTCAATATGTTGACGGGTGAAATATAAATAGCTGGCACACTGCATTGAGCATTGGACATACACAGACTAATCGTCAAGGCTGAAAAAAAGGCGCTGAATTAAAAGGATGGGATCAATTATGCCTTTTATCATCAATCTCATTTATAACCAAAACAGTGCCTTACTTTACAATAACTACGGAGAAAATTTGACATAATTTTTTTTTAAAGTATAAATGAAGTTCAAACTATTTCTTTGAGATATGTTAGAAATAATTTATCTCTGAATGCTATATTCCTAAATTTCCTGTAATCTTTCAAAACACAGAGACACTCTGCAGCAAGCGCCCTTATTCCTAGTTCTAAGTAAGCAAAATAATTTGTTTTTTGTCCCTTTGTCCTGATTTCCAGGAGTACATAAAGTTTTCCTGCGTTTTGGTGAATATAAAGAACGAACACAAAATGATGGACATCAATCATTTATAACAAAGCAAGTTTTCAGAAATTTGATTCCTGATTGTGAATTATAAAATAGATAAAATATAATTTATACACTGATAAATTGAATTTGACGTGCAGAGCTGCCAAAGCGCGATATGATTTATCACCATCATAAACACTCAGAACGAAAAAAAACTCATGAAAATTGCCAAACAGTCATAAATCATCTGAAAACGCTACTTTCTGATTTGGCTAATAAAAGAAACAACTTATTTTGAAAGTCGTAAGTTTTATAAAACCTTTGTGCTTGGCTTCAGTACTCATAAATCAAATGACAATTTTAGGTAATTTCTTCATTTCTAGATTTTTAAGACTGGTATTGAGTAGGCACTCAACAAAATTAATTCATTTTTCCAGATACAAATTCAACCTACTTCTTTTCAAAATAGATATAGAATTTTGATTTATCTTTTCAGCATGCATATAAAAGCATGGAACAAAAATCAAACAATGTATCCAATTTGACTGGCAAGGCTCCATGTTCATCAGGGCTTTTGATCTTTTCAAGTTAAGTATAAACTACATTTTAAAAATGTCCAGTTCTAATTGTCTAGTGTATAGAACTAAAAAAATTTTTTCGCAAAATCTGCTTATTAATTCAAGACACAGACACCTCAATATATGTATTAGCCCCTAGACCCACTAGAATGTAATTCCTTCAAAAATATTTCAAGAACGCCCTGCAACTAGGAATTTCATTTCCTACCTCACAGATAGATTCTGCAAATGGCAGTGTCTCAAGAAGATAGTGGACCACAGCCATATACGCCCACCACGGCAAGTGGGTGGTAAATATTCAAGATTTTGGGGCACAGGCAATAACTCTGCTGTTAACGATCGAAAATAGCCCAAATTCGAACTTGATCTTCTTTTTATGAATATGTATACACATACCGAATTTCATTTGATTCCATCAAAAATTCTAGTTTTTAGAGCGTTTACAAGCAAATGTTGACAGACGTACGGACGGGGATGCCGACAATATACATCCTCATAGAGAGATGTGGGCGTATAAAAAAGTCTCGTCTTTTTAACTTTCAAAGGAGGATAATTTTGGACACACATGGATTTGAAGGCTCAAATTTCGACGGTGACCTGTGAACACTATTGGGTTAGCTAACAAAGATATGATTGGTAAAAAAAATGGCGCATCTGTCCCTTTAATAATTAGATGACATTCAAAGAAACATCAGCTGTCTGCAAGATATTTTTACAGAAGTTGGTCAATTGAAATATAAAATGTCAATTGTTGGAAGTTTTTTTTTTATAGCTCCTTACAGAGCCTGTCATTTTAACCAGGGTTCGAAATCTGGCTCAGTATTCTCGAAACGATCTAAGCGCTAGTTTGTCCTAGGGCTTACCTTCTAACATTGATTCTAGGACATCCTAGTGCTAAGATTGTATCAAGAATACGTGGCCTGAACTTCAGATCAATGTATCAAACTGTGCTGAAGAAAAAATTAGTCAGGTCTTTTATGACTGAGAAAAAACACAGGACTGGACTGCAACTGACTGTTAATACCTTCAGATTTGCCAACGCGGTTTTCCCCCTGTCAGTGCTACAGGTAAGAAGGACTGACATAGAAAGCGAGTAGTCATTCGGATGGAACAATAAACTGATGCCCTGTGTGCTACAAGCTGTGCACGTTCAAGATCCCTTGACAGTTGGAAATCGAATAAGAGCAAGCTAATGCCATTGTTCTGGCAAAATTTCCCTCCTTGCACCCTACATGGCATTGCCCGTCTGTATTCGCCTACATGGTGCAACTGATTGAGACTCCATGTGTAGTTTGGAAGAAATTGTAAATGTAGGAGTATTTCTTTTGCCTTTCAAAATTATATCAAGTCAATCTTAAACACATTACGGATAAAACTCTTTAATTTGTGAAGCCGGGAAAAAATGAAATCTTCAATTTTACAAAAATAAAGCAAACACAAGTCAGCTTGAACTAAGACCTTAATAACTAAATCATTTATCTGGATGATTTCAAATACAAAAAATTAGCAAAAAGAATTCAAAGAAACATCTTCAACTTGAATATTAACTTTAAATCCAAAAAGCATAGAATATTAGCAAGAAACTTCAACTTCAATTTCAATTTTCAAGTGTTATTTCCTAGATAATTTTAAACTAAGGTATATCAAAAAATGTAATAAAAAGCAAATCATTGTACACTCTACAATTAGTGTAAGGAGCAGTGAAAATATTTCATTATTGAAGAAAGCAAATATGCAATAAAAAATCATCAATTTTAACTTGAAATTTTAACGCTGAATGGAATACAGTGGTTAAAATATTCCCCTTACCAGCTGATAAAGCTTGATTTCGGTTACCCGTATCACTTTCTAGAATTAAAGTACATCCTTTGGTTCTCATCCAATTCATTAGATCACTACTATGAAAGATTAGAAACTTTGATTTGATTCGCAGATTGTAGTGATAGATTTTGATCATGATATCGATAAATCCTGGATCTGATTAAGGATATTGTAAAGAGGTTTTCTAAATTTGTTATGCGTATTGATCGAGGACACTGATAGCATTAATTTGCACAATTCCAATTTTCAATTAGAAATCTATGGATCTAGCAATTCCATTAAAACTGAGTGTTTTATACCATCACCCCCACGAAATTTGCTTGTTTTACATAAGACCTTTGGGGTGATGTCATAAAACACTTAGTTTTAGAAGAATTGTTAGAACCATAGATGTCTAATTGAAAATCGGAATGGTGCAAATTGATGCTATTATTGTCCCACACATAAAAATTTTAGAAAACTTCTTTACAATCCGTTTAACATTAACAATTTGTTAATGAGAAGAAAGTGCTACACTGATGGTTGAAATAGAGGCAAGTAAAGTATAAAGATTATATGCCTTCAGGATATAATTCATTTAATATAAAAAGGGAAGCAACTAATTTTAAATTGTAACAGTAACACCATGCATTTGAATTCATTTAACAAACCTCTTTTTAGATTTGGGACTCTTTTTATCCTTTTTAGGACTTTTAGATTTTTCACGCTTTTTCTTACTACAATCAAGGTTTGGGAAAAATGACATGCTTTTTATTATACAAAAGTTTTGCACAAATTAGTCGAAAGAAAAAAGATAATGTCATGCAATAAGCTCAGCCATTTCAGTTAGGGTCATACTAAACATTTATCACTTGGATCAGATTTCTTTTCTGTCGAACGCTGGGATTTTGTGTTGTAAACAAAAGGTGAAATTTGATTGGCTGGCCATATCATCAAACGGATGAATTTTCAAGAAGCCCGCTAAAAAATAAATCGAATGTTTCGTCCAATTTTAATTGCACTGAGAACATACTTTCTCCATGGTTTTCCAAATTTTATGGGATTTTACTCATCGCCTTTAACCACTGAAAAGGGGAAATCGATTTTGGTTGTACCACTTGAATGCCATATAAATATATTGACAATAAACATACCTATAAGATGGTGGAGGAGCTCCCCTCCCTCGGCTAGAGAATCCTCCTCCCCTTCTTGGTGGACCACCTCTACCACGACTTGAGAAACCGCCCCTTCTGGGACTGGACATTTCGTCTGCCCCTCTACCTCCCCTGCCAGAGCTCACTACTGCCTCTGTTACGTGAAGGGTGCTACCACTTAATTCCTGCAAGTATGGAGAAAACTTGAATAAGCAAAGCATAAATTTAAAGGAATCAAAAAAGTTTTTTTTTTTTAACAAACCTGTTGCTCAAAATTTTATGTGAAAGATTTGAAAAAATTACTGAATAATGTGAAGCATAAATTTTATGTCTTGCAGTTAGAGTCTACATATCTGTCTGTTCTATATGTCCAAAGAGTTTAAATACTGTAGTACGCTTTACACCAGGCATTTGGCATAATTTAAAAATTATCTGGGCCTCTAATATTTTACTTGGCTCCTAAATATTGTATGTCAATAAAACAACTTGGCGCTTACTTGGGTGTCCTTAAGCTAACTTTTCAGAGATGTATGGGGGGAAATTTTCTTTGATACACCATGTACTGGTTAATAAAACCTATGCAAAGTATAATTACCGTATTATCCAGTCCTTTTAAAGCATCAAATGAATCCTGAGGATTTTCATACGTCACAAAACCAAACCCTCTCGACTGGTGGTGGACCTTGTCCCTGATTATGATAGCTAAAAGAGAAATAAAACATGGTAAGACAAATTAACAACATTCTGGACTCTCTGTAAAGGATGAAGAGCATGGTAAATGAACAAATGGCTAGCACTGTGCAGTAGTGGACTCTCTAAAAGCAAGAATAAATGAATTATTCTGAATCTCAATATTACATTTACCAGTTGAAAAAGCACAATTTCAACTATTCTCGGTGGTCATGAGTAGTGCAGGGAATAATTATTGAAAAATCGATTATCGCTCTTATATCATGTACCGATAATCGATGGTTCATTTCAAAATCGATTATCGCAAAAAATAACATAACCTCCGGTAATTCTGTAAAATTACTCCCGGGACCATAATAAAACATTTCGGCAGTCACGTACCGCAAAATAAACTAAGCTAAAGTCTTTATTCTCATATGTTTTTCCATTTCTTTGATTGTATATGATCATAACAATCATTAATAAAAAAAATTTCATTCACAATAAATTAGGACATTTGTTATTATACGTATATATAATTAACTGAATACAGGTACCGATGTTTGGGCATGACTTTCCCTTTATTTTTCACACGATTGTAGTTGTCTCCCTTTTTTTATCAAGTCTAATTACGTAACGACAATGCTGATTGGATAATCAGTGCTTCTTATAAATAGAAGGCTAATCACAATTCGTATAACAACGGTGCTATAGTATTTTAGTCTTGGTTGTCAAGAACGTGTGATCAAGTCAATTATTTTTACCATTCAACGGTACATTCATGCCGATGGCGATATTGACGAAAACTAATCTTCCAAACGTCTTTAAAACAAAAAGACTGGTCACATAGCGAAGAACATGATAATAAACACAATACACATACTAGCATCTAACACTAGCATTACATAGAAGTAAGTGGTAGGCAGCCTAAATAGGACTTGAAATGAGTCGACTACTTGACCTAAAATTTGAGTATCAACATTACGATTTTTTTCGATTATCGATCAGAAATGCCTAACGATATATTGCCGATAATCGATGATAATTTTAAACTCGATTCCCAGCACTAGTCTTGAGTACAACTTTGACCTTGTGCCACTTTCTAGAATGAATGATTAATTAATTTTTAACTATTTGAATAACCTCAAAACCATCATTAGTACATACCTTCTGTAATGCGTCCGTATTTTCCAAAAGCTTTCTCTAATCTTTCTTCAGTTATTTCTAGTGCCAGTCCACCAACAAATAACTTCCCTGGTCTGTCCTTCTCTCGCATATCGGATTAATAGTATCAATGAAGTTACACTGCTGAATTAATATAAGAAAAACAATTACAAATATTGTTCAAAAATGGGGTGTCTCTCTGAAGCAAGGCCCATAAGGCCGAAATTCCTTGAGGCCAGGAGCCTCTGAGGACAACGGTCTGATATTAATTTTTGGCATTTAGAGTGTAGATTTTCACTTCAAAATAAAACCTGTCACATGTCAGATGGGGTGAGGCTTGGGGATGGCCCTGTCAATAGTAAAACAGCTTCTTGGTCTGGATATCTAAGCCCTCTTCATAATCATGGACGTATTACCTTTATGAAGGATAATCCTGGGTCAAGTGATTGGTGACCAAAGTGAAAGTGGAAAACTTCATGATGAAAATGGGGACGAAAGAAGACAATCGGTGACAGAAACTTAAGTCCAGGACTTGGCAAGTGCATGCATTTATTGAAAAACAACCTCATACATCTACCTTTATAGCTCAATTTTAGTACTTTTCAATTTGTCGTCTGTCTTATTTTCTTTCTCTACATCAACATGGCGTGGTTCAGAGATCGCCGTCTGACGGGGGAAAGGGGTTCACTTCCGGTTAGAACGTTCGTAGTCTTTTATTGTCCAGACACAAATGGACACAGCGTTTTCAATGTCCGAGTAAAAGTAAACTTGCTTGTTCTTTGTATTCTAAAATTACTTTTAACTTTTTTTTAACCTTTTTCTTTAATTTTCCTAATCTTTACTTCTGATGTTGTGTACTATTTGATATTAAGCGCAGAATTTAATGAATTTTTTAGAAAAATTTAAAAGCTCTTGGCCCGAATATTATTTTCTCGAATCATATTCATTCCGGTAAATGGTCAAAGGGAAGTAACTCTAGTTTATCAAAGAGATCATTCAGACAACATTTGATTTATGTAGTCTGAAAACCTAGAAAAGATGACATTATTTGGTAGTGCTCAGTCGGAATGCTTTCACGGGGATAGTCTTGAGTCCAAAACAAAAAGACTTCCGGATCTAAAATATTTGCTGGATTATGGTACTTTTTTAGAAACAAAGATCAAAAATTATTTTCCTGTCATTTACGGTCTCAATCTAAATCTCGGCTAAATTTACTAATGGTTAGGCCCCTTTAAACCACTGACCTATCCAATCAGAGACCTTGACTCATCACATGCTGTTATCGCCGTCTTGTCGATGCCAATGACTTGAGGACACGGGAAATGCTTGGAATAACATAAAGAGCAGAGAGGTAAAAAAAAATTAAGATAGATGTTAATTATGCTGTATATCAAACACTTTGACATCACAGTCGTGCGTTATCAATATCATAATTCATTAACTACTGTGTGATATAGCTGTTATTGCCCGGTTTAGTTGAGCGATATTCATTTAGTATTAATTTGTTACAATTATAATTTATTTTCATAGATAAGAATTTGAAATGAAATTTTATTAGTTTTTCTGATATTTTTCGATAATATATATTGGCCTAGGTATATTCAGAACCAGTTTGGTATTTTTAGTTCATATGATGCAATGGATTTTGGTTTTGAATTATTTTAAAGATGCATTTCCACATTTTTTTTAATTTTGATTTTTTTTTATCAGAAGTAGGTTATGTCTTTTAAAGCTTAAAGGGATTGTAACATGCCTCTCTATACTATTGATGTGTATCAGGGACATCTGTGGGTCTAAAAATTCAGCTTAAACTTAGCATATTATGATGTAGTTATTGCCCTACCTTAGACTTAAATATCATTAGCAGCCTTTGAGTATATGATGTCACAAGAGGTTAGTTGTACTGAAATTACTATAAGCATCTGACTGACAATTGGAATGATGCAAAAAGTAGCCAAAGATGTCTCAATATACTTCATAAATCTAAAATCTCTTTACACTCCCTTTAAAGTCCAATTTGCAACCTGTTGTAAAATCAGGTAACTCATGCACAAAGTTGAACCCATTGCATATATTATGTATGTAGGTATAAATAAAATAAACAAAGAACAAAACTGGTTATAAGCTGGTTCAGATTTTAATATGTTAAAGGGATTGTAAAAAGATTTTCACATCACAAAATATAATTTATCACATAAGGCCCTTTGCGATTAGTGATGTTGCAGGAACCACAGACGTCTGATTAGAAATTGGAATAGTGCAAATTGATGCTATCAGTGTCCCCAATACACATAAAAAATTTAGAAAACCTTTTTACAATCCCTTTAAGATGTGAAATTCACAGCAAATCTTGAGCCCATTGCATATATATGCATTTAGGTATGAATAAAATATAGGACAAAACTGTTTATAAGCTGTTTTAAGATTTTATTTGAGATATATGTTTAACTTGATAAACAAACAAAATATTGATGTTCATGTATACAATATGTTTACTGATATGCATATAAGATTGAAAGGGTATTGTACCCATAGTCTAAATTTAGCTGAATCATACATAGGATTATTTACCTTCATCAAAAGATATTGTCATTAGATTGCAGACAGTTCGTACTTAAAAGGATTGTAAAGAGGTTTTCAAAGTTTTTTATGAGTGTCAAGGACACTGATAGCATCAATTTGAGCCTTATGTGATACAGCATATTTTGCCAATTAGTGACTTCATCACTCAGTTTGGATTTGCAGGAACCACAGACTTCTGATTGAAAATTGGAATGATGCAAATTTGTGCTATTAGTGTCCCTGATACACATATAAGAAAACCTCTTTACAATCGCTTTTAAGAAATATTGACTGTAAGAGCCTCAATATGAAATTCTCATATTTGACCAATAAGTAGGCCTATTATTTTCATTGGTGAACTTTAAAATTTTAAGCATTTTTGAATGATAACTTAATTTATGGATTTATCAGATTATAGAGGGATTCTGTATAGTTATGACACCAGGTAATTCCAACTGATGTATATATACTCTTATTGGCCAAGTTTAAGAATTAAGCATTTATTTTCATTTTATGAGGCAGTATTCCTTTAAAACATACAAATATTGACCTTTGAACTCCATTGGCTAATGTATTGACCAAATGATAAAAGACTAGAAAACCAGCTGTTATCTAGTACTGGTAATTTAAGTGATATCACAGATACTGATGAATTCTGTTCTAGTTCAACAAGCTGGAATATCCTGTTCATTCTTTCAAAAAGTCAAAAATTGGAAATGGCTTCATCTTGTTGTTGCATTTGGATTTCGGGTTCGTTTTGCGGTTCGGATTGTTGGTAGGCCTACTTGGTTTATTTATGTACTACTTATACTTTTGAAGGTCAAATATTGGAAGTATTGCTCTTTATTGGAAACCAAGCTGGCCTGACAATGGGTTAATATCCAAAATGCAAGTGTTGTCCACATAATGATGACAGTTTACGTGCGAGGGGTGGCGAAATATCTCAGGTTTCCCGAATTTCGAACCTAATTATGAGATTTTTGCCCGAAAAAAATTGTTTTGAGGCTGCGAGGTGAGGGTGAGTGACTCCTCAGCTCCGCCATTGAATGCTGAGCTTTTAGTCAATAATTTTATAGATAAATTGAATCATTCGGTGTAAAGAGTCAATTCTGAATATGTGCTGGCATACGGAAGTTTTTTAAAACTGGTAATATTGGGTATTAGGGTGTATCAGAGACGATGTCCCCCTATTGAGTCAGTCTGTCCCCTATTTGTATCCCCAGTCTCTGAAGGCTGGTGCCGCCATTGGGTAACAAGTATTATTTCAAAAAGTATCATATAAATAAGGAATTCAACTATTGGTCTATTCATTTCTCTTTCAGATGAATTCAAGTCTTAAAATCCAAGGTATGCCCTCTACAGACATGAGTGTATAAACTTGAAGGCATTAAACTACAAAATGGGGTAACTGTAAATACCCAAATAAACTCAAACTGATCAAATCAAACCCATGACATCTTGCTGATTCACAAAATGGACCAATTAAAATCAGCTGTAGGAGAGACAGACAAGCAACTGAAGGGATTGAATAAAGGGATGAATGAACTTGACAGCAAAGATGAGGAATCGAGAGAACTTCTTCTCCAGAAAAGCGAGCACATTAATGACCGTGATATGAATAATATGGAACAAATTGGAATGAATGCTGATTCAAATGGAAAGAAAGAAAAAGAAAAGGATGAATTAAAGGAAAACATATCAATGGTTAACAACACAATGACTAAAGGATTGAGAGAAGAACACAGGAATGAATTAGAAGATATTAGATTGACGGTTGGACAAAAGAATGAATCAAAAGAAAATAACATTAATCAAATGGATGAATCAAAAAAAATTGGATTGGCAGCTGGACAAATGGATGAATTAACAGCTGGAGAGACTGATGAACAAATGGATGACTTAACAGATGGACAAACGGATGAATTAAGGAATGGAGAGAACAGTGAATGGAGGGTGGATGAATTTGGATCCATGAATCTATTGGATGATAGAGAACATGTGCTTGTAACAGAAGAAGTATCCATGGCCCCCGTCGACAGGGGCTGGGCTTGGATGTCTGTTGTGGGTAAGCATAATCTCAAACTTAAAGTGTTGTAGGGCTGGGCTGGGCTGGGCTGGGCTGGGCTGGGCGATATACTGGTATCACGATAAATACTGATATAGGAATTTATATAGTTAGTAATATCCCTTGATTAAAAAATACTGAAATATCAACATATCTTGATATATGGTAGATATCATGATATATCATCAAATATTTATACAGATAAGATAATCTACATAATTCTAACAAGTAACATAATATTTGATACAGATGTTTTTTTCATGATATTCAAGACTGGGTTGTTTTTAGACATATTTATTGTTTTATGTTACATTTAAAATTTCTAGATCATAATTTTCTTTCAAAAACCAGTAAAAAACAAACTTAAAAAATATCGTGATATATACCCATATCGTGATATACATCCATATCATGATATATTAATGCTTAATATTGTGATATATTAATGCTTGATATCAACTTGAACCAATGTCTCCCAGCCCTAAAGTGTTGCATGAGTTCAACCATCTTCACAATATCAAGCTATTACGAAGTCTGTCTATTCAGCAGCATACTATCCAATCAAATTGCTGCATTTGTAAACTTCGGTGATACAAAAAAGTGGCTATTGCAGTCAAGGTATAAGACACAGTTGGTATTAGCTTGACATTGTGAAGATAGAACAAAGTGCTAAGGATTTGCCTCGTGGTTTCAAGGCCTCAACAATCTTCTCTGACATCATTTGCTTGGTTACCGGTACGTCAAACAAACAGTCGCTGTCATCTTCAGTGAAAGTCTGGTAACCTTGTATAAGCCATCTTCATTATTCCAGTCTGTAAAGAGAAAGATCAATAGCAAGAGGTTTAAATACCAGTTTGCAGACGGGAATCCTTGTGAACATAAGGAGCCATGGTGGCTCAGTGAGATAGACAATAAACCAAGGCCTTGTGTGCTACAGGCTGTGCATGTTAAAGATCTCTTGACAGATGGAAATCAAAAAAGAGCAGGCAAAATTTCCCTCATTGCACCCTGCATAGCGTTGCCTGTCTTCGTTAGCCCACATGGTGCAAAAAAGTAGGACGTAAAACTCAATTCATTTCATATGTAAACCTAAGTTGTTATCTTTAAAAGATGGTTGTTTTAATTTCAGGTTGTTTTGGTATGCATATATTAGCTGTTGGAGGTATCAAATGTTTTGGTGTGTTATTCGTGGAGCTAGAACATCACTATGATACGACTTCTAGAGCAATAGCCTCTATCCAAGCTATAGCCTCTACCCTCATGATGGCCTTGAGTGAGTATAACTACACTTTTGGGTTTGAATCCTTGTCTGAACATCATTCAGTTAAATCTTTAGAGCTTGAGAAATCAATGTTTAACAATGAATATCCCAGAATCCCTCATATTATAAAGAAATCTATATTGAATAGAGCATGAATGAATGAATGAATCATGTCAACTTAGAACATGAGATGCATTGCAATTGTGTCAGATCATGGATTACAAGTGGAGTCACCCAATAGCAATAAAAAACATTTTATTCAGATTGTTGTGGAAAAAATGGATGCAAAATTTATTTCCCTAATTCAAGTCTATTCCATTTAAGGTCCTGTATCAAATGCTTTGAGTGAAAAATTTGGATGTCGTAGAGTTGTCTTTCTTGGTGGAACGTTGTTACTAGTTGGATTTTTCACCTCTGCCTTCGTTCCAGCGTATGAATGGTTGTACCTTACTTATGGGGTTATTGCAGGTGAGTGAAGGAGTTAGATTTAGATTCTGGACTCTGGTGTTTGTGAAAGAGCAAGACCCCTCGACCCACCACAGAACTTTCAGCTTGAATTGAAACTTTCTTTCCTTTGCATATGTATCTTGGACATTAATAGCTTTTCACATTTTTCTGAAAGTGCAGAAACTGCAGACATTTGCTTGCTCTTCTACAGAATCTTTGATCCTATTTCATTTATTTTTGTAGGGTGTGGTTTTGGATTGAGTTATGCCCCCTGTATCGTCTTTGTCGGACATCATTTTCGGAAATATCGAGCTTTAGCCAATGGCCTCTCAGTATCTGGCAGTGGTTTTGGGCTGTTCGTTTTCCCTCCTTGTATGCATTATTTCATTGAATACTATGGACTTGCAGGGGCTCTGATGCTGATTGCTGCTTTTGATTTCCATATTTGTGCTTGTGCCATGCTGTTCCGCCCCCTTGCAGACTATAAGACAAAAATTGTGAAAAAGTGGGTACCAAAATCGACTTTAAAAGATGAAAATGAAGAACTTTTAAACAAAGAAGTAGAAATTGGTAAAGATTGTACTGAAAACTTTGTTCAAAATGGCGTCAAATGTCACAAAAATGTGGAATCGCTTCGGTCAAATGTTGCACATGGAAGCCTAGTGGACATTACGGCCTTTTCTCAGCTTAGTTTACCAACAGATCAGAAAACTCATAATAACTCATCATCCATTTTGTGTTGTCATAAAACAAAAAATTCATCTCGAAGTAATTCACAATGTCAAAAATATATAACATTACTAACGAACCCAGTTTTTCAAATTTTTATTTTTTCGATACTGCTGGCAAATTTTGCATATCCAACCGTGTTTATCATGGTGCCATCATACGCGGAGGAGATCCACGTCGACAAACAATCGGGAGCTTTGATGGTCTCCATTATTGGAATCTCTGATTTGATTGGTCGAATTTTTTTTGGTTGGTTTTCAGATCGTAGATTAATCGCGCGAAAATACGAATTCATGGGAACCATGGGTATAAGTGGTGTCCTGAGTCTGATTTTGCCGTTTGTGAAAACGAAAGTAGCGTTATTTGTCTATTGTGGATTCTATGGTTTTTTTGCTGGAGCTTATATATGTCTGATCGCTGTGGTACTGGTGGATGTTTTGGGATTAGAGAATTTATCTATGGGATTTGGGATCGTGGGATTAAGCATGGCTATTTCAATGCTAGCTGGTCCTCCTATTATTGGTAAGATCTTGGTCCTTATTTCATAATAGACACGAATCAGTTAATTCCCACTTCGCCCCTAATTTATTACCATTTCGCAACAAATTAGTCATATCTGTTCCTCAGACGTAATATACAGACGTAATATACAGATGTGATGTCATCACAATAAGGGCCAGACTTTTTTATGGCAGTTGCTCTGATCCCATTTTGAAGCCCTATTTTTGGAGAGTTTTCACCATGACATAAGCCAAATTTTGCAAAACTTTTGGTTTCTTTACAAATCTTTCACCATCCATCGATCTAAACTCTTTGATGCTTTGTGATTTCCATGACTGAAAATTTTTATTTTATCATTTTAGGAGCTTTGAGAGATATCAGTGGAACTTGGGACTATTCCTTCATGTTTGCGGGCCTGATAGCAATATTAGGGGCTTTAATCATCCTCCTTGAACCCTTGGCACAGAAAAAAATACAGAGACAGAAACGACAGAAGAATGAGAACAAAATTGCTTGAAATATTATGATTAGAATATTTAGGCATTAAATGAGTTTAGAACATGAAGATTATGACAATGTAAATTGTTGAAACATTGTGTAAAATGAAATTCGATCAGAAGTAGTATACCATGTTAACTGATGATAATGGAAATTGTTGAAACATTGTGTACAATGAAATTCGATCAGAAGTAGTATACCATGTTAACTGATGATAATGGAAATTGTTGAAACATTGTGTACAATGAAATTCGATCAGAAGTAGTATACCATGTTAACTGATGATAATGGAATTACCAGCAGAATTCCAATGAGTGACCGATCAAGAAAGGTCAAAAAGTCTTTTTAGTTTATCCAGACTGTACATACATGGACATTTATGATTGCTTAAAACACTTAATTATATGCAATAAGAACATAATGATATGATTAAGAATACATGATAATTCATTAGAAACATCAATTAATCAAATAGTTTGCTTGAATAAACATCAAAAAATAAGGAAACCCGTCTTTAAGTAAGAACGATGTTACTAGGTTAACAAAAATTGATAATTCTGTGTACAAAGGGATTCGTGATTTTTAACAATTCTTGTTATTGAGAACTTACTTACCAGGAATGTTGATTTTTTTGGTTTTTTTGGCAACTTTTTTTACGACCTGTGATATTTGATCCCATTTTGACTTTGACATTATTGGAAAGTAATCCATGACCAGAGAATGACAGCTCAACTATTTGCATCTTCACAATGTCAAGCTAATAAGAACTTCATACATATACCTTGACTGCAATAGTCACCTTTCGCATTTCACATAATCTGTAAATGAAATGATTTGATTGGATTGTATGCTAGTGATTACAGCCAATCAGAGGCCTCCTCAGAAAATCTGTCAATGATGAAGTTAACACTTTCAATCAAATGTTCTGATTGGCTGCATTCCCTAGTGTACAATCCGATCAAAGTGCTGCATTCCATGATACAAGAAAGGTGGCTGTTGCAGTCAAGGTATAACTTCAAAGTTCGTAATAGTTTGACATTTTGAAGATGAAGGCTAAACTCTTTGTCTTATAAATGTCTCCTCTTTCTTTTTGTTATTTTACATATAGATGTTTTGTTATCTTGTCTAAATTAGGCGCCAGCACCAAATGTCTGTGACAGGCTCTGTAGGCATTCCAAGGCCACAATGTTGTAGAGCAATTGTATATTTTGGTTCTGTTGGTTTAGCTGACTCTACAGCTTGGGCTGTCTCAGATTAAGCTTTTAGAGATTGTGGTTAGATTTCTCAATTGTTAATGTTTTGTTTCCTGTTTTTTCTGTGGGTTAGTGATCTGAAGATATTTTTCATTTGTGAAATTTTGACTCAAATTTTTATCTAACCAATCAAAACACTGTAAAAAATAAATGAATATTTAAACGTATGCTTAACTTTGAATATCCCAGAATTCCACACACGTAGTCCATATCCTGAGCAATTGATTGGTTGAATATCTTAATGACTTGTAACATGAGTTGCTCAACAATTTCATCAGATCATGGATGGCAAGTTGAGTCACCCACAAAAAAAAAATGTAAATTGTAATTGACTTTTGAAACAGATTAAAGTTATTTTATATATTGATGTTATTTTTTTTAGCAATATAAATTTGAAGTAAGTAGTAACTTCAAATAGATAAATTATTTTTATGTGAATTTTTTTATAATTTGTTGAGAATATTTAGCCAATTTGTTGTCATATTTGTATTTAGAGAAAAATAAAATGTATTCTTTATCTCTTGTATTTTACATTAGGACTCTGAAGAATCTGGGACCTTAAAACTTTAAGAACTTTTTAGCATTCAAGTTGTCTGATTGGTCAATCAATTTTCAATTTAATTTTATTATCCAACCAGATTACAGTATTTCTTAAAATCTAAATTTGAATTTAAGTTTTCAAGAATGAGGTCCATTAAATAATATAAAATATGGCATGGAGGAACATAAGGTAGAGGGGAGGGGGAGAGGGGAGGGGAGGGGAGCAAGTGAAAGAGGGAACTCAACATTAGTCTTTTGCCCCTAAAATAAAAATTTGGTCGATGATGTTCAAAATGTCCCTTTTATAAATGGTCGATACATTGAGGCCCTGTGCGCATCAGACTGCCCTGACAGTTAGAAATCGAAAGAGTAGATTATCTTATAATAATTTCCCTCACTGCAGAAACAGGCGTACCAGTATCAAAGAGTAACCAGATTTATATTTCTTTAAAAGTTCATAGTTTAATAATAAATCCTTCAGACTTTCTCACAAATAAATATTCTCACAAGCATGTCGTTTGTCAAATAAACTAATATAAAAAATGCAGAATTCCGGCTCTGGAATTTAATTTATCCCAGCACAATGTCTTTTTTTAAATTAAATGGGTCTGAAAAATGTTTAAAGGGATTGTAAAAATGTTTTCTAAATTTTTTATGTGTATCTGGGACACTGATAACATCAATTTGCACCTTTTCATTTTTCAATCAGACATCTGTGGTTCCTGCGATTCTAATAAGGCTACGTGTTTTATGACGTCAACCCTACAAATGTCTCATGTGATACAAGCAAATTTTGCAACATAAAAACACTTAGTTATAGTGGAATTGCAGGAACCACAGACGTCTGATTGAAAATTGGAATGGTGCAAATTGAGGCTATCAGTGTCCCCAATAAGCATAACAAATTTAGAAAACCTCTTTACAATCCCTTTAAGATGCACATTCAATTAATTATATTCCAAATGAACATACACAGTATATAATAAGCAGTATAGTAAGCAGCCATTGGCTTCATCGGCCAACAGAAGACAAACATGGCATTACAAATATAAATTTTCACAAAATGAGACTAAACAGATGCCTTCATAATATAATAAAACTTTGTCCACTGTCTAGTCTGACTCTGGTAAGCTTGCAGTCAGTTTCCAGTTTCTTATAAAAGGGGAATAACTGATATGCACATAGTTTGATCAGCCACTAATAAATATCTCACACCATCCTTACAATAATACTGTAACCAGTTAATCTTCATAGGATGTGATATAGATTGTTCTCTACATGACTCAGTTATTTGCAGGTTTCTGTGGTCTATGGGAGAACTATGACCATTGCTCGAGCCATTTTGAGCAGCTTCTATGTTTTCAGCTTTGCTGAGATCCCACAAGATGAGTTGACAGTCGTTTCCCCCAGATATTAAATGAGTTTCGTCGCAAAAAACAACTTGAGAAACACCTTGAGTGTGTGCATGTAGCGTAAACAATTGAGACAAGTTCTTACGAGAGCCATTAAAAACCAAGATCTGTCCATTTTGAAGAGCACAAGCGATGTAGGTACCCGTAGGAGAACAAGCAACGTGGTGGATGAAGGGTGGATTGACCATGTAGGCAGACGCATCCTCAGGAGTATCAAGAAGTTCACGCATGTTGAATTCGTTAAGGCACTTGTGATTGGGATACAACCAATGAACAAGTTTCCCATCCATTCCCCCACTCACTAAATCTTGGGGTCGATTTGGACGAAAGGAAATGGTCGCGCAAATATTTGAATGAATGTTTCTTAGAGTCTTGTACATTTTTTTCTCTGGTAAATTTATAATTTTGACATCGCCCGAGTCGTCACAAGCGGCTAAATATTCTTCTTGGTTGCTCAGAGCGATTTGGTTAATCTCTTCAGAATTGAATGAATACGTTAAAATCGGTTCTTCGAAATCATTAATGTCAAACACAAAAACTTCCCTCTCGAATGCAGCATAAAGTATATCGAGATTTGTTTTAGAAAAACAAACTGAAGTACATTCACAATCCGCTTTCACATATTTTTTCAGTAAACTTTTAGACTCTAATGCCCAGACACACAATTCCCCATTCTCACCACCTGATGCCAGCTGCTCTGTTTGCCTCTGAACATCGAGACATAGGACTGATGCTGTGTGACCATTTCCTAGCTGGACTGCCATCGCTGGAAAACAAAGTTAAAAGAAATATGTATTCACTAATTAGAAAATCACTATAATTTGTTGATCATAGACATAATATTGGGGCAAATATCCTTGACCTTTAATCATGTTCTCCCTTTAATCATGTGTTCCCTTTAATCGAGTTCTCCCGGACTTCACAAACTCTACTTTCAGTTTCGCAGATAAAAAAAAAAGGAAAGCATGGTGATCTGTGTTTACGGGTTATCAATGGCTGCTGCATTAAATCTACAATATTGGCATGAAATGTTAAATAACTAATTAGCCAAGTGACTAATCTAAGATCTAAGTAATCAACTACCGTTAATTTGACACCTTTTCACAGCTCACTAACGAATTCCTTGACGACTTGCACTAAGGTGCGCTTTATGACCGGAAGTTATGGATGCGTTCGTATCGTCGCGCTGATTGAGGTCGCTTATGGCCACAAACACTTAGAATTCAGTGAAAATTAAATTTTGAACGCCAATTAGCTTTGTTTTTTTTTTTCATATCAGCAATATTTTTTTCTTATTCGTTAAATGCAAAATATGTTTTGGTGATTGTAAGTAGTTGACGCTTTGATTCTGTCGAGACTAACAGAACAAGAATCGAATACAACGTTAGGAACACTGCTGCGCCATCTCACGGCAGTTGGGCGAGGATAGCAGAGAGGAGCGGAGATGACTTCGAGCTGTTGTGGAGTTAAAAAACAAAAACTGAACAATTCCTCAGCGTCGGTCAGTAATAATGGACCGTCTGCGAGTCCAAGCTTTCATAAAAATGGCTACACGGTAGCCGTGCCTGATATGGTGTTTTATTGCTTTGACGTTTTACATAGCCATCTACACACCTATGAAGCCCCAAAACCAGCGTTCACCAACGACTCTTTGTAAGTAAATTTTTACCTATTTTGTAATGGACCTGTCCAGTTTGATATCCGAATTTTCTTGATGAAGATCTCGGTTTTGAACTAATTGTATCAAAATTAAGTTTTCTGACAGTTATGTAACATTCTGAATTGATTTCTGCATGTTTTTGTTTCTGAAATTTAGTTTTTGGTCGAAAGTTGCCATTTGTTTACATCGCTCAATTTGTCATGATTGAGTAGCCCATTGGTATAAATAGGGGTGATAGGTAGATAAGTGTCTTACTATACTACAACAAAAGAATTTCCTTGTTTGTGTTTTTTTTTTGCTTTTTCATAATGGGTCACAGTTTTCTCCACATAAAAATAATGAAATATTCTTTTGCATGAATGATCAAAAGTAAATTTTTTCAGTGGTTTTTTGGATATTTTTGACTGGACTGGACTGGTTGGTCTATCTTGTCCACCACTTTAGAATCCTGGGCTGATCTTGGTACTTACCTTTTGTTCAGAGCAGGGGATCTATGTGTAGTATTTCCCTGTACAAAGTTCTTACTTTGGTCAGATGCAAACTGGCCGCACATATCCTTACAAAATGTCCCTCATTGCACACTGTAGAATGAATCTGAAAATGTGGATTCTTGCAGGATTTCAACTGTTCAGTTTGAAATATCAAAAAAGTGTAGACTAATGCCACTGTCCTGAAAAAATGTCCCTTATTGCCCACTGTTGTAGGTAGACAGAGGTAATTAGGATGTGTCACTCTATTTCAATAGGTTTCCTGTATCAATTAAGAATGAATCCGCGAATGTCGGTTGTGACAGAATCTGATATCTGAGATAGAGGATTAATTAGACCTTGTCATGATGTATTGAAAATTGCTATGTTTTGTCATTTTGTCACATTGAGGGCGTTATATGACGTCAGTTTCCTATAAAGAATGACGTCGGTGAAAAAAATGAAGTCATGTCCTATTTTTTCTGTTTAGATTTAGTTACCGGTACAAAGTTACCTTCCGGATAATGACAATTGTAAGAAATGGAGTTGTATACCATTTTTCTGCTATAATTTTGGCTGATAAATATTGGAAGCAATGCAGTGTTCAATAAGGAAAGTTTTTCTGAATAATATGTCGATTGCGACATTAGGCTCATCTTTTTCGATTTCCATCTTTTGTGGGTCTTAACATTTTTTTTGTCTGGAACACTAGGCTTTGTTGTTTTCAACTCTACTCTGACACCAATTTTCCCTTTCTGGCCTGATGCATCATTGAAAGGGGCAAGGGGTTGAAAAAATTTTTAGGGTATTATTACTAATAACTGACCCTGGACCCTTGTCATTATCATTAAGCAATGGAACATAAGGACGTAGATCTTGATCTAAGTTAACCCTATTTTTATAAAACTAGCTGTCCTGATGAAGATCTTGTACCTTAAACTGCAAATATGTTGACATCATGAGATGAACTATTGTCTTAAAAGTAAGAAACATTAGAGAAAAATGTTTCATTCATTCATTCATTCATTCATTCATTCATCGGTAAATATTTAACTTATGTTAGATGTTTTTAACTGGAATAGAATTTCCAAGCCAGTTCCTGATAATACATGTCTAAATATGGAATTATTGGATATATGATATTTTTTTTAGCCTGAAAGATAATTAGGTTCGTTAAGAAGCTGTTCGTTACGTTAATTAGTGCAATTCATTAAGGATGCTTACGTGTTGTGACATTTGTTAAAAAATATATTGATTCGCTGCGTTTGAGTTGTTTGGTATTTAAAGAGACATTGTCATCTAAAATAATTGCCTTAATAACTGATAGTGCTCAGCCTTATGAGGACAGGCTGTGTTAGGGTGTATTGAAACTCGTCTCAATAAAAGCACTGGCCTAGGACACAGAGCAATAGTCTATTAATTATGTGAAAGTTAGTTAGCCATTGGTATGATTTTAGTTGGAAAGACACAAACATACACATACACGTACTCTGACATATATAGCAATGGCACCAGTCCTGTAGCGTAGAGTCTGAGTGGTAAAATTGGGGGGGTTGGGGGTTTTTTCATTATTAGTTCAGTCAACAGATCATTGCCAAGAGTATTAACCAAGGACAAGCTTTAAGAAAATGGAACTTGTTTCTATACATTTATCTGATATATAGGTGAACTTGGCCTGTGCTTTCGTAATTTCAAGTTTACATATTGTATTTACAACCACTGACACCTGATGCTGGAAAGAAACGAGAATATCCAATATAAAAAATAACCAGTAGAACTGCATTGTTGAACTATAGGTGAACCGTATTATAGATTTTTTGTGTTAAATGGGTCAATACACTCATTATAGGTAGGGTGTGGCCCAATGGACAAAATCAGATCTAAGACAATTCTTTTAAGGAATTATAAAGAATATTTCGGAAATTTTATGTGTATCGGGGATACTGATAGCATCATTATGTAAAGAGCTTTTTCTAAGATTTTACATATGTTCAGGAATTTCTAATAGCATCAATTTGCACCATTCCAATTTTCGGTCAGGCATCTGTAAAGACCCTTAGCTGATTTGTTTGGTCAGGCATGAATTGATCTGATTGTATCTCATGATTTTGACTATATAATTGTAGTAGTACCAGGTGTTGTGTGCGAAACACCTGATGGTACTTCTCTTTTGTGGAGTTTACTACTTTACGAACTGATTATGCCATTCTTTGGACGAGATTTTGATTGACGGAACTGTCTTGCTTGTACTGATGTTTATGACTGTAATGCCACTGTACTGTGGAAATCTAAAAATAGCCGGTCCAGTATTGATCAGTACATTGATCTCTATACTGTTGAACTCTCAGCTTCCTCTCAGCTGTTTTTAGTCTAATAATGTTACTATTAATAGATATTAGGTCATTCCTTGTGTTGTGACCTAGTTACTGACTTTTTGACCTATATTTGTTTATTGTATTATATTTATATATATATATATATTATGATAGGTATGAAGAGTTCAGGCTATAACTTGATTTTAAAAAAAATGAATGATATGATGTGTTTCTGTCTGGACTCTTTTAAAAGGATGTCAAATTGGCAATCAGTGTTCAATTTAAAGAAATCAATTAATAGAACTCAATTAATAGAACACAATTTTGTGGTGGGGCCACAGACCTATTTTAATACTTAGCTGAGATTTATTCAAATTTGAAGTAGATGCATAACTAAATGTATCAAGCACAGAGTTTCTGGTATTATAACTAGGACTGGGTATAGATTAGCAAATTCAGAGCGATTATCGAGGGCAGACTACCGCTTAATAATTGAAATGATTGAAATAATTCAATTGAGGGACCTTGTAAATACTTAATGAAAAACCTTGCCAAAATTCTTAATTTCATGGGTAATTTTTGCGTCTAAGATTGGTTGTTATAGTTTATTGTGGGTATGTTATGTGTTAAAGGGAACCTATGTGCAAGAGATTACTACTTGTTGACAGGTACAGTGGAGAAAATGTAACTTTGACATATAATCGATTATGAAATTTGATAATCGATGATTAAAATTATAAATTCCCAGCACCGATAATCTATTAATGATCATTTTACCCTGCAAGGGGCATGAATTTAAGTAAAAACTAAGCTGAGCATGAAAAAATGTTTCGTGACCCTAAGACAAGTTCTTATACTATTTCTGAGGATGAAAAAATGTTTCGTGACTCTAGGACAAGTTCTTATACTATTTCTGAGGATAAAAAAATGTTTCGTGACCCTATGACAAGTTCTTATACTATTTCTGAGGATGAAAAAATGTTTCGTAACTCTAAAACAAGTTCTTATACTATTTCTGAGGATGAAAAAATGTTTCGTGACTCTAAGACAAGTTCTTATACTATTTCTGAGGATAAAAAAATGTTTCGTGACCCTAGGACAAGTTCTTATACTATTTCTGAGGATGAAATAATGTTTCGTGACCCTATGACAAGTTCTTATACTATTTCTGAGCATGAAAATATGTTTCGTGACTCTAAGACAAGTTCTTATACTATTTCTGAGGATGAAAATATGTTTCGTGACTCTAAGACAAGTTCTTATACTATTTCTGAGGATAAAAAAATGTTTCGTGACCCTAGGACAAGTTCTTATACTATTTCTGAGGATGAAAAAATGTTTCGTGACCCTATGACAAGTTCTTATACTATTTCTGAGCATGAAAATATGTTTTGTGACTCTAAGACAAGTTCTTATACTATTTCTGAGGATGAAAATGTAAATTGTTGAAACTTTGGTTCAGTAAAACAAAATATGAAAATAAACTGGCATATGAATTAGCTGTCCTGATGAGGATTTTATATCTAAAACCTGTGTTGGCAGCATGAAATCAGCTGTTTTCACAGTAAGCAGTAATTGAAATATCAGTTAACTTGTAAACAGAAATTTGGCCTATTGTCAACAACATATTAAAATTGATGATAATGAGTTTACAAGGCATTGCAGTATTTGACCCTTGACCCCAAGGATTACACTGTTACATCTCTGTTAGTTATAATTTGTATTAATTGATATAATATTTTCTTATTTGCCATGTAGATAATGTGGGTCAAAGAGCTCTGTTTGTAATTTGCTCTGAATGTGACAAATGAGCTCTTTTCCAATCATAGATACAGTATAACATTGATAGAAGGTATGCATGTCTGGAAGAGTTCATTTAAAAGTTGAGGGTTGTCAAATAGATACCAGAAACTCTATATTCAGCCTTATCCAAGGTAGGAAATAGAGGCAAAATGGTCAACAGCTGCATCATTTTATGAATATGATTATGAATTATTGTTTTCAGTCTGTATTTCAAATAGAAAACTGTTTGTACGAAATAGTGTTGGTGATGAGTACATAGTATCAGATTTTAAAAGAGATACTCTCTTATAAAAGCACTAGGTCACAAGTAGAACATAGTGTTAGATGGCGATGAGAACAAAGTCTCATGAAAGCACTGGCCTAGGTCATAAAGTAAAGATTTATGATAAAACAAGGTGTCTAATCTATCTATAAACTAATTATTTTTGATTAAGTCTGTTCGAATTTTTCACTGTGTGTATTGTCAGTCTTTGTATTCTGTATTTCAGTCCCTTGTTTGTAACATGGAAGATTGGACGGGAACGAAGATTGCGGGGATGTATCGGTACTTTTGCAGCTATCAACCTACATACAGGTCTCAGGGATACGCTGTCAGCAGGTATGGATAGTTCAATCTATTTATACAAATGATTACCAGTTCGTTGCTGTTTTTTTTTTAGAATATTTTTATGTAAGTGTGTCATGTAGGACCTGTTTCT